GCCATGACAGTGATAAATTCGGTAGTAACTCATCTTCAAGTTATTACCGCAATCGAGAAGGTATATCTCTTTTCCGACTCCGAAATCTTTACAACTGGATAAAGAAAAAAACACTCAAGGATGCAGGAGTGATGGTTCTCAATAGACTGAGAGAGATTACCGAGATAGACGATCACCTAACAAGTAAAGGCCTTAACATCTACTACGGTTATGTTCCCACTGAACTGAACCCAGCAGATTGCGGAACAAGAGGATTGAGTAAAGGACAACTCAAGGACCACTTCTGGTAGACGGGACCACCCTTCTTGAGAGATTCACCGAAAACCTGGCTAACAAATTACAAGTTATTTCAAATGACTAAGGAGACCGACGACATAAGCTTGCCAGCTGAGTTGGCACTCGTCAACCAAGCCGTGTCAGAGGCAATCGATCTGCAACACTCTGACATCTTTGAAGACTTAAGAGATTACCCATTCTCTACGATCAAAAGGATCACAGCAAGAATGTTATGCTTCATAAAGATTGTAGTCAAAAGAGTCAAAACGACCACAGAGCAACATCCGTCTTTCTCCATTGCTTGGAAAGTACAATGGACGCTACAATGTGTACCTTGATGGAGACGAAATTTCAATAGCGGGAAAGATTTTTATACAAGTCCATCAAAGAACACTTTGTACAGCAACAGTATTAAAATCGTTAACGCAACTCAACATAAAACCGGACAAAGAAGGTCTCATGAGATGCCATGGACGAATGGGAAAAAGCTGCTTGCGTGACACAGCAAAATTCCCTTACATCGTTCTCCAAAAATTCGGGAAAGGACACCCTGGCATAGGCCATACAATCGCACTTGTTCGTCAGAAATTTTGGATACCAAAAATTACGCGCACAAGTTACTCGTATCATCCGAAGATGTGTAGAATGCCAGCGCTTCAACAATCGACCGTACAAGCACCCCAATCAGAGTGACTTGCTACAAGTAAGGGTACAGCAGGCGTGTCCCTTTCAGCACGTCGGATTGGACTACATCGGCCCACTGACGGTAAAAACTAGCGAAGGCAGCACAAGTGAATGCTACGGAGCGATTGACACCTTGTATGGTGACTCTTATCTACCTAAACGTAGTAACAGACCTTTCCACTATAGCATTCCTCAACATGCTTCGAAGGATTTTTGGAAGAAGACGAGTTCCAAAATCTATCACAAGTGACAATGCTCCTACATTTCTCCTGGGAGAAGAAATCTTAGCAGATAGTGGTATTAAGAATCTGGAACACGAGGTAGCAATTAGCAGGGATATAAGCAATCGCGAAATTTTATGGAAGCACATAACATCATTTGCACCATGGCAGGGAGGATTTTATGAGAGGTTGATAAGATCAGTAAAACAAGCACTGCACAAGACTCTGAAAGGATCAACATACACGTTTGAAAAAATGTCAACCTTGTTGAGATTGAGGCTCTACTCAACACAAGGCCTCTAGTCTACATGAGCTCAAATTCGTGCAACGAAATCATCATCAGACCCATTGATTTCGTGCAGATTAAGACCATTCTCGATTATCCAATCGAAACATCTATAAATGCGGAAGACCCGCCATATCTGCCGTCCGAAGAACAAATGGTACTTAGCATAAAGTTGCAAACTATTCAAGCCCTGGAAAGCTCCTGCAAATCTACCGACAAGTTTTGGAAAATTTGGAAACACAATATCTCACAGCTCTGCGAGAGGAACACAAGTTGGAAGTTGGACACAACAAATCAAAAGCGCTCCCTCGGGTTGACGACTGCGTTCTCATTATGGACTCATTGGTTATCTACGTATTCTTCGTTATCCTTGAGTTGCGCAATTATGGCTTGGATATGTTCCAGTAAAGTACGCTGTTCCTTGACTGAAGCTGCACTCAATTGAAGCTTCTCTAGTCTATCATAAAGGCGATTGACCAACTCCTCGTTATCTCCATACTTGTTTTTCAAGAAGTCTATAGCTCTGCTATAGTTGTCCGATGACACGCGAAATTTCTTGACCGCGTGATGAGGTTCTCCTTTCAGTGAGCTTTGCAGGTAGTTGAACTTGTACAAATCTGGCATTGGTTGGGAGTTCACGTTTGTATCGAACAATGTCCAGGTTGTCCCATCCCCAAATATCTCCATTAAATGTTGGTATTAAAAGGGTTGGTAACTTTACCCTTCTGGTTCCCATTGCACTATCCACTGTTGTACTACATGTGTCTCTCGTTGAATGCGGGGGAGTCTTATTGTAAGAGATAAAGGCGTTCAGTCGTGCTTCCAAAAGAACTGTGTAGTCCAGTGAGGAGCATAGCATCATTTCCGCCTTCGTTGAAATCTTCCCATTCTTTTTCACTCCTGATCGCAGCTATCTATCGTTGCCGCATAGTCTCGCATCAGCTGTTGTATCCTGGTGTTGCAGGCTTCAATAGCCCCTATCGCTTCTTCTAAGCGTTTTCGAGATTCTCTTAGAAGTATGTGTGATGACTCTTCTGCGGGAAGCTCAACTGTCTCAAGCTTTTCTTCTTCAAAATGCGCTACAACCATCTCTAGCTTGTTGCAGTATCGCGATAAGAGGCGTTTGTACGTCGGTAGTTGTGTCGACATCTTTCGCGATAGCTTGGCGACTTGTGCTCAAAGGTGAAGCAGGAACAACTTGTGCTAAACTTGAGCTAAAGGAGTCGATCGAAGAATATGGTGAAATGCGTGCCAATATTCAAAATGCAGATCGACTTGATTTAAATGTTGTGAGGAATGAGGAATCCTAACTGTGATGCGCAACAAGCATCTGGTAGCACTTGTAAAAGAATTTGAATTGCAGGGACAGTGTAAAGACTTGTTGATTTGGAACTCGGTTTCGATTAACCTAGTATCAATTGTGGGCCTGCTACTGTTGAGCCGATGCACCAAATCTGTAGGAATGTTGTTTTTTGAACGTGCCACACGGGTTGTGTTTAGAGCGTGTAGAATTACCTCAAAAGTGGTAATCAAAGTTTATTCAGGAGCAGAACACAGTAGTTTATTCAACACAAAAGAAGCGAGAGAGAAGTGCCCCAGAGATGTGTGAACTCAGTTGCTTCTCAGGATACTACTTGTAGACTAATCTCCTAAGACTTCTTAAGTGCTGGATACTTGTAGTGTGAATATAGTCCTACTTCTAGAAGACTTCTTCTCGGTACCGGAGACTACTTGTCTCACCCCAGGAGCTAACCCTTTCCCAACTGTGGAGAGAATTGTGGAAGACTGCTCGACCCTACTCATTCATCAGTATTTATACCCTCTGGATCTTATGTCACGTCATCATTGTTAACTAATCTAGTGATAAGCCTGGATAAGTTAACTTGTGTTATCAAGTTAAAGCTGGAGCAATGACAAACTGGTAGGGTGTTCGTCTGACTTGTACGTACTTGTCTAGTCAGCTGCTTCCGTTGCGGGGTACTGTACCAACATTAAAGTTTATAAACAAATTCAACATAAACATAAATAAACGTGAACATGAACAGAACAATCAACATGGCATTATTCACAATATGTATTGAGGTCGCCTTTGGCGACAGCTACCATATCACTTTCGAAGTAGGTTTAGGTTTATGGGCGAGCCACTTGTAGTTTGACCTGTGAACTTACACACTACGCACGATCAACATAAAAGCCGTCACTACCAATCCGTCAGTAAAATCCGCCCTAAGGAAGTGCTATAATGTACTCTTAATATAATCTTATGAGATAAGGCTAAGAGAAAAATGCAAGAAAATTCAATACTTTTCCTATCCGCACCCATTTTTCCGAAACTCTCACAAAATACGTGCTTTGGTCCAATTGCAAAAACTACTTTTACAGATTTCACGAGGAGTGCCTCTCTGTCACGTGTCAGGAAAACACTGGCACGTTTTGGTCCATATTGACATGCTTCTTTCCGAAATCATTTCAGGTGAGGTCAAAGAGCATTTGTCATTACCTAAAAGCTGTTTATGTTTTCTGTGCGAGCAAAACAACCTAGAACTTATATCAGAACATCTTCGTCGCTTTCAGCAATGATTCAGCATTGTCCTTCTCTTCAAACTTTTCATCTTGCGAAACTAGCTAGACGAGATTATAAATAATGGCATGAAGTTTTCGCTCTGCTTGATTTGTCATTTAGATGATGGGACCTTAACCGACTTTTCTATTTTGGGCAAGTCTAATCTGTTTATTAACAACAAAATGACGTTATGATAACAGCGTTCATTTTTGATGCTGTTCAATCGAAAATGGGGCCAGTATTGACTATAACAAGACTTGGATATATATTACGTCGCTAGGTAAAGCAACAAAAACTCTTGGTTAATCATGTTAAACATGTGAATGACAGGTCAAATTTTTTTTTGCACATGGCAGGAAAGTTGGTACTCCTCCTTGTGAAGTTGAACCAGATATGGTACGAGGGAAGAAGCAATATTTTTTTCGAAAAATGGGTTCGGATAACGGAAAAGTACCGAAAATTCCTCTGTAAATTGAAAAACTGAAATGACAGTGAAACCTGCAATTTCCATTGCTCAACGATAAGTGACTGAGAAATCGAATCCAACTTATAAGATCAACGTAAATAGTATGACTTTCGGTCTTCTCTTGCGAGACACTACAACTGCGTGAGATATCTCTGTACCGCTAAATCCTCTCGATAGAGATTAGAAATCATTCTAAAGCAAACTCAAATTTCCAGATGGAACAAGAGGGCAGCCTGTGCCGTGGTTGCACTGACGCCCTAGAAAACGTCAAACCTTTTTTTCGCACTTTCATCGTTTTATTGTCTCCAGCTTTTTGCAGCGGCTGTTTCCGTCATTTTGCCGCATGGGCAGTTTCGCGTTGATATAAAAGTTTTCTAGTCAAACCAGGATCACCCACAGTTGACTGAAATCGCACTAGTGCACTTATCTTTGCAATGTAAGCCTTCCTGGTTCGTAACGATTACAGTAGTCTCCGCTAAGTCTTACGCTGCTTCCAATTTCATTCTAATTGTCATTGGGATAGGTGGGGGTATCGTCGCCAGCTAATAGTTCAAAGTAAGGCTTACCTTAAAATTACCATGCTTAGATGAAATGACAGAGTACTTGCATCGCAGAGACAAACGCGCTCACATCTCAATCACGTTCGACTGCGCGTATTTCTTACTTTTCTGGAAGCAAAAGTAAATCCTTTAAGGACATAAACTCACACAGCACACACGACCATCAAAGGCAACGTCCGACCAGATTTAGAGCATAGTGGATATTTGCGCATTTTAGCATGAATTAGACTGATTCTCAATTCCCATATAAGGCCTCTCCTACTTCAAGAATTGAGTCGAAGTGGCATTCTAGCGTTCAAAGATTCGTTCTGGCGCGCTGAACGAATCTTCTTTTTTTGTCGCGTTTTAGGACGCTTTAGGGCCGGGCATACTTCACGCGATTTCAGCCGCGACGCGATTTGGCAATTCGTCAGAAGTTTTCAGATCCAACATTAGCAAACTGCGCATGCATAGTGTGTATAACCTGCGTGGATTGATAAAATGCCCCATCTTCCGTACATTCAAAATTTGCTTACAATGACTCAGACAGCGGATAGGACCCCTCCGCCGGAGAAATGGCAGAATCGCGGCGTTTCCCCAGCGGTGGGTCTCCCATTTGTCCGGCGGAGCCCTCCCATTTCTCCGGCGGAGACCTCCCATTTCTGCTCCGGATACCTCCCATTTTCTGCTCCGGAGACCTCCTATTTTCTGCTCCGGATACCTCCCATTTTCTGCTCCGGATACCTCCCATTTTCTGCTCCGGAGCCCCCCGATTTTGTGCGCCGGAGCCCCCTGATTTTGTGCTCCGCAAGTCTGCCGCGGCATACTGTAATTAGCCCTAATTAAAGGCAGCTTCCAGGCAGATCTGGACCTATGGGGCTTTTACATGGAAAGTACTTTTGGGGCCCTAACTAAGGCACTGCCGAAGCAGCAGCTCATGTAGTGCTCTAATGGCGGAGATATTCCCCTTGAAACAGACCCCCCGCGAACGTATTCGCATGGATTCATGGCAGTTTCGCGCCAGGATCCACGCTTTGCGCCATGAATCCATGCGAAACACGGTTGCGGGGTCCAGTTTCGAGCAGAATATCTCAGGCGTTAGAGCACTACTTGAGCTGCCGGTTGGGTAGTGGCTTAGTTAGGGCCCCAAAAGTACTTTCCATGTAAAATCCCCATAGGTCCAGACTTGCCTGGACGCTGCCTTTAAGCTCCAAAGCCCAATTTTGTCTCTAAACCCCACCCAAATAAGCCGAATAGGACCCCCCCCCGGGTAGGTGTTTAGCGCGACCCTCACCCCGTACTCTATCCCCTCCCTCTCACCCCTAGCGTTTGTGGATAGAAGATAGAAGAAAGAACGAAGAGATAAGACATTTATTTCAAATTTTTCAAACTTTCGATGCTTCATGATCTCTTCGAAACATGCTTGATATTCACTTTTTAACATTCCCTTTTCCGAATCTTCACTGGGATCTCGTAGCCGAACATTGATTCCAGCGAAAACATGCATTACATCGTTGCCCAAACTATCAGCGATCGAACAGTCAGCACCTCTGCAGAATACCATTAATGGTGAAATTGCACAAGAACGAGGCAGATATAACTGAAGGCAATACACTCATCAGTCCTCTCTGTCTTTGAGAGATTACGAAATTCTTTTGGAGAAAAATAGATGAAGTGAAAAACAATCCAACGATTTTGAGCTAAATGATGACATGTGATGTACTGATTCATGATTCAATTCTGGTTTTGTTATATCAAAAAGATTTCAAACCTAAACCTATTCTTTAAGTTTGTCCGCTTTTGTTTCACATTATTTTCGCATCATTGAAATCTAATACTTACGATGACGGCAGCAAAAAATCATACCACGATGAGTTTGATTAATCTCGTAAGTGAAGCGTACGCGATAATTTTTGTTACGCCTTTAAATAATGCTTTTCCACTATAACAAAATTATTTATGAGCTTCAGAGATCTGCGTGTACGACATGTTCTTCTTTTGTGTCGACCTAATTTTATGCGCTAAGGATTCGCATCTGGCCCTGATTATGAAACTGAATCTCTACCTGGACAGTAAGTACTGCATCTGCTCAAGAAGTTCGCTTTGCGCATCTTCGTCAGTATAACGCAGTAATGATGACAACAGCGTCACACCTTCCATATCCTTCCTATTAATATCCACATATTCGGACATCTCGTCCAGAAGCCATTGCACAATTCCATAATGGCCTATACTAATAAGGCTACACTTGGACTATATTTGGTTTCTCCAGCTCAATACCTTTAAGGTAAGCAATGGATAGTGGTGTTAGCTTCCAATCATTCTCTTGCTTGAGGCAGCTCGGATCAACACTAGTCAGAAGCTTTAGACATTCTAGCCAACCGTAAGCAGCAGCATAGTGTGCAGGTGTGTTGTTGGAAGAATCACCCTAGAACATGGCGTTACTAGCAATTCTAATTCGAATATGTATTTGATTACCTTGAGAAAGTCAGCTCCTTTTGCCAGTAACAAAGCCGCGCAATGTTCTTGTCCGTTAATGATAGCATGCGATAAAGCTGTACGTTTCTTGTGATCTTTTGCCATGATGAGAGCACCATGGGCGATTAGGATTTCAGCGATTTCGAGGTTCCCAAGAGAACAAGCTATCTGTAATTGTCAACTCTGAAGAGTGGCTAACTTTGATTAGTGTTCCATTATCAAAATGCGATCCGTACAGCATCTGGACAAGCTCTATTTCCAGAAAAAGCAATATCAAAAGTAGAAAAAATAGATAGAATGATATTTTAAATAGGTAAGTGCTACCACAACTACAAAAGAAAAAAAGCGGCTACGACCACCATGCCGTCCATGAAGTTCACATTAAGATTGACGGCTTAACAGGGATATTCAAGACCCAAAAAGGACGGGTGATGATATTGAACCAGAAAAAAAAGAATAAATGGTTGATGCACTCACCAGATGAGACATTTGGTTCCTTAAACACCTTGACTAAATCTTTATAACTCATTCCATTCATTACGAGATCTTTTCCTGACTCCCACTCGGTCTGCGACTCAAAGTTCAAAAACGCATTATTTCCCTCTCGGCCACCTAGAAAATTCGGAATTGTAGACATTAACATTCATTGTGATAAGATACCTCGCGTCATCTCCACTGCTCTAGTTGCACGACCCAACATATAAAAATTGGACTGTCCAGTGGTTTCTGAAACATTAAGTTGAATAGTTCTGTCTTTAACTTATAGAATGAGCTCACCCTTCGAAGGAGATTTGGTTCTCTTCGTGAGGTTTTTCCCGGTTTTAGCAGAGATCTGAGCTCAAAATACTCTTGCCGAACAGCATCGTTGTCACACAAAAGAGCACAACCATCTGGTGTTTTATCTTGCGCGTACGAAAATTTCAAAGAACATGAGGCGTCGATGTATCTGAAAACATCTGACTGATCAAGTCTTAAAAATCAAGACTTTCGGAAACTAGCAGCCTTACGAGACTTGTGTCCACTGGTAGCTAACAATGCTGCCATCGTCCTTAGCATTGCCATTAAGAACGATGGAAGATTCGGGAAGTGTATGATTACCGCCAGCATCAGCAACGAAAATTGTGATTTCATAAGACCAGAACTCAATTTCACACGGTAACACAGCAGCATGGAGCCATTGAAGAAGAACAGAGAATAATTGAATTAAAAAAAAACATAACATAAAAGTGCGACATTCAAGAAACAACTCGCCTGGAGGCAGATTTTGAGCTTGAGCTGACACTGAAGGTGATTGAGTGCAACCGCACGAAAATTTGAAACATAAACCTGAAAACGAGGAACTTACAACAACATAAACGCCAACGCGACGAAGAGCAACGCGGAAAAGAAAAAAACGGTAAAGAAACGCGGAAAAACAACAAAAACAAAGAAACGACGACTAAAATATGGAGAAAGAGCGTAAACAGAGGACTCATCACCGTGGAGTTAGACGTTTGCTTGCTACGCGCCAAATCGATACGCAGCCTGCTCCGGATACCTCCCATTTTCTGCTCCGGATACCTCCCATTTTCTGCTCCGGATACCTCCCATTTTCTGCTCCGGATACCTCCCATTTTCTGCTCCGGATACCTCCCATTTCTGCTCCGGACCCCTCCCATTTTCTCCGGCGCGGCTCTTCCAAATTTGGCGGACTCGCGCCGGGCAAATTTCTCCGGCGCGGAGTCCGCCAAATCTGGCAGAGTCGCACCGGAGAAATGGCGGACCTTTGCAGCAGGGCCGGAGAAGCCTCCCACTTGCCTGACAGTGATGTCACCGCGATGGACCGCCCATTTGCCCCTCTCTCATTGGTCAACTGGGTCCGGCGCGACTCTGGCAGTTTCGGACTGTCCGGCGGAGGGGTCCCGTCGATTGTCTGAGGAGTTATGGACATTTGGAATACTGCCAAATCGCGTCGCGACTGAAATCGCGTGAAGTATGCCCGGCCCTTTTCTAAACGACGTAATCCTTCTTGACGTATTCAAAGGCAGTTGTCACCAAAATTTGGATGTCGGGATTTTTGCATACAGCGAGCCTTTCCAATCTTAAGCCTATTAGGGTTCAAAATCACAAAACATTAGCAACGCTTTTGGAAGCTGGGGGGGGGGGGGAGAGAACTTGGAGAGATGTGCTTTCTTCTTCTGGCCTTAACCGCAGATTCAAATGTGTCTACAAGGGGAAAAGCTTGAACTATGTGTTTACAGGCGTATAATACTGCCGAGTCGGCCGGCATGGACCAATTCGCCCTCTTCGGTTCATTTTGAGCACAGTTTTCTAGGAGTAGGAAAGGGTATAGAGTTCGATTAAGACAGCGGCGTATTTCGGGGTTTTCTAACAAGATATGTAGAGAAATAGTAAGAAAAATCCTGCTGTATTGGATACGGTAATTGTGTGGGCTTTATCAACATAGTCAGATATCAAAGCAGCTTGGAGCTAGAGATCTATCTAACCACCACCATATGCAATATGGTAGAATCACTTAGAGCAAGTCAATGTGCCTGGTAAGCACATCACTTAGATGCGAGAATATGGCTCGGACGACGAACTACCCTACCCGAACTAGCAAGGCTAATTGCATCATGGGAAATTTCACGTGAAGAGTTGAGAGGGGACAGGTACGATCTGGTTTGGATTTTTGTAAATCTCATAATCAAATATTTTTGAAGCAATAATGAGCGCTGTCTTTGTTGTCATAATGACACCGTCTCCGTCAATTTCGCGCAATGATGGCAGAAGCGGACGTACTGCTTGCTCACATTAACCATTATGTCCATATAATTGCAGCATCTGCATGGCTAATTTGCCTTCGACAAGAGGATATCCGACACAGTGTTTTCCGTTCAGTCTCGATGACCTTTAGCGGCACATCCTTTGCACGACAGTATGTGCTGTGCAGCAGCTGTTAGTGCTCGCCAGAGTAGTAACCTAGTCTATACTTGTTGAGATCGCAATTCTTCTACAATATTAAGCAAGTTTTGTCAAGCAAAGGAACTTGTAGTTCTCTGTTTTCGGTTTTTCTGGGAAGATCAAACAAAATAAGAAACTTTGCCTAGAACTCTTTCAAATACTGGGTAGCTAAACCGACCGCTAAGCCGGTAGCACCCTATCTATAGATGTAGACATGGTCCCTGCATCCGCTGCCTGCAAGAAGAGCTGACTATCAAAAAACATCGAGGCATATCTGAAGATGAAACTGCCTCTACTGGCCGTTGTCTCCGCAAAGAAGAATGGCAAATACTGTCCTTTGCCGAGCCGCTGTATAATACTAATCACTGAAACAGTATCCTGTGTATCTCCTGAATGAGAAATTTAGGAAACATGCCATTATTTCGTAGCTTCGGTGTAGTAATACTTGATTGATAGACTTATTTCACAGTCGAATTAGCGTAATTTATTACTTTAAAATATTGATATCGAAGTTAAAGATCATTAACAGCATTTACACTTTTCACAGTACCGATAAAATACCTCATGATGGGTGCGCAGCAAGTGGTACCCAGGCAGCCGACTGTTGCAGCAGCCAGCCGCCAGAGCTGGCGTCAGCGCCGCCGCATATGGTAAAATAATTACGCTAACCGTCTGAAATCTCCTTCCAAGAGGTTTCCTCGTAACGCTGAGGTGCGATATCAGCCTTAGCAGCACAATCATCAAAATTTATTAAATAAAATTTATTAAAAAATTTAGATTCAGAATTTGAAGTAATTCAAGGTGCAAAAAAGTGTTTAGTCACCAAAATATTTTTCTGGGAATCAAAATCGGAGGAGAAAGTTTTAAGAGCATTCCAAGAGTTAGTGATGTTTGAGCTGAATAAGTCAAGCAAATAAATGAGCGAAAGTGGGTCAAGAATTGAGTAGGTCACTGATAAAAGGTGGAAATATGTCACATTTGCTGATATAAAAGAGAACTTAGGTCATCAAGAACTTGCTAGGCTGTAAAAAAAGTTCCCGGGCAGTGAAAACTTCAATTTCAGAATCGTTTTTTTGCCGCATTTGTTCGAATTTTTACAATACATTTTTTGCAGTGTTCTGTAGTAGACAGCTTAACTTTCATCGATGCCCAATCGTGTCTGGTCTATACACCAAAAAAGGAAGCATTGAAAAAAATTATTGTTTGACCTACCTTGGCTTATTCAGCTCGCTTGACATCACCAAGTCTTGAAGTGCTATTTAGACTTTCTTCATCATGTCTCGTACGTTCCCCTCCGATGTTGATTCCCAGAAAAACATTTGAAACTAAACACTTTTTTATATCTTTGATTATTGCAACTTCTGGTTATTTTACGGAATTAAATTGCATAACCGTTCTCCCTTTAAAATGTAAATTTGTTCATTTGCATTTCATCGGTATTATAGAATTTTTTTGCTATTCAAAATGATATAAATATTGTTAATCGGTCCCTGAAGCTGATATCGCATCTCAGCGTTACGAGGTGCGAGAAAATTTCTTGGAAGAAGATTTCAGACGGTTAGCGTAATTATTTCAGCATATATGGCGGCGCTAACGCCAGCTCTGGCGGCTGGCTGCGGGCTCGGCTGCCTAGGTACCACTTGCACGCCTCCCCCTCATGACTAATAGGGAGAGGAAGGCAAATCATCCAGGAAGTTGGCTCAAACGAAAGAGCTTTTCATTTCATGCTCTTCGCCTAAAAAAGTTGTAAGAACCTGTAAACTTTTAGCCATATAAGCTCCCTCAGTGCTATCTTTCTGACGGTGACTGACAAATTGAAAATTCATCTTTATAGTAGCCCAGTTGAACATAACAAATGTCCGGAATTTCACCGTTGCTCTTTCGTTTTCCAATGTGATTGTGCAAAGACCTTAAATACAGAGGATATACATATATAGGATATACAGGATATATCTCTTTTCCCAAGAAGTCTTTTGCTTAGCTTTGAGCACTATTTTATAGAGCTGGCTTCATCTTAGATTTACAGTATGGGGAATCATTCATCTCGCTCTTTATTACTGTAGGATTACGGTAGAAATTTCAAGAAGGCTTGTGAGCCATCAAGGACCCTATTTCGCCTCAAAAAACAAGCCCAACAACCAAAAGTTTTTAAAGTAGGGCATTTGGAGCTGCTGAAACCAGATATGATGTTTGCACTTTACCGCAATGCTTCCTTTATAAGTTATGGCAGGTAAACCGCAATGTCTGTTTTTACAAGACTCCAAAAAGTTGTAATTACACCATTTCAAAAGCTTTGATAATTTGTAAAAAGTTGAATAATAAAGTCAGCGAGCTTGAGAACGCTAGTACACCACTTTTCAAATTTTTTGGAAACTTTTGTCGACGACTAATCCACAATGACGCTGTAAGCCAAAAGTTCCTACCATATTTTACAGTATGGAAGAGCGATCGGTGGTTCGCTGCATACTGTAAATCTAAGTTGAAGCCAGCTCTACAAAATGGTGCTTACGATTAGAGGAAGGCAAAAGGCTTTTTGGAAAAGAGATATCAACGACCAAACAGTGTATACATATTTGGTTGGCTCATAAGTTTTGCAACGATTCCCGTAACTTTTCTCTTATTTTATATAGCAATCTCATTTTGTGGCATAATGTAGAACGTGATGTAAGCTGCAAGCCTACGCAAACCGTTTAAGTTTTGATGTCGTAGTACAAAAAATCTAAGCATTTTTTGAAAACTGCTGAAAATTGAGGTTTC